CAGCCAAGACCTACAATAATGTTTACAATCCCTAATATATTACAGAATACAAGCTGAGACATACAATGATGCTTACAGTCTCTGATATACTACAGAATACAAGCTGAGACCTACAATGATGCTTATAGCCTCCAATAAATGTTTTAGAATACCAGAAGAGGTTTTCAATTATACTTAAGTATCCATTAGTTGTAAAAGAATACAAGTAGAGGCTTCAAATCATACTTAATAATCTCAATCAGATGATGCAGTCTACAAGCAGAACTATTACTTTGCAAAGAAATAGCATATTCATAAGGCATGTGGAATACATTTATTCAATTTGATAGGTGCATTTCCATGTTTTAAAATAGTAAATCCTTGTAAGCCAAAACTATGCTTATTTAACTGAAACTATGACTAGCCAGGATTGTATTTAGTACTTTCAGCCTGATTGGCACCTTATGTGACATATGAGCTAAACAGCCAAGTCAAAGACCCCAAGATTTGGGCATAGCCATTTCTGATTTTAAACTGTTGAACAGAGGGAGGACAACCAGTCATGGCTACTCTTAACTGAATAGTTTGAAGTACTTTGATTCAACTTTATTGCCTTTACCTAATATCAAGTTTTGATATATGATAATTTATCTTATTATCCAAATTTGACACACTTTAATCTAACCTTAGAGCACTTGTATTAAATATTCTTACAGTTAAGTACGAGCACTTTGTTAACTTTACTTGATGCCAAGAATAACTGACAGCTAAGCAAGAAACTAACAGTGCAAATTGGATATGTAATTGGCTCAAAGATTTAAATTCTGTACCAAGTTTATCTTCCTGGTATACAGTTTTAACATTTCTGTTTCATTTGAGCAAAAGCATACAAGCTTTAATGCTTCTACCTTACATATATTTGATATGCTCTCAACAGGTGTGAATCTGAGAACATGATGTTTTCTTATGTTGGGAATACTGAAGCATCAATTCATGTCAAGGTAAAGAATTCTTGCCACTAAGAAAGTATAGGGTAAGAAATATTATAACTATGACATAGATCAGTAATATTTATATAAGTTCATAATACTTGAGACAATCTTTTAATTCTAGTTTAATCTACCAATAAGTTATATTACCTTAATATAATTTATTTCACTTTAATAGTTTTACCATAGCAACCTGGCATTTAATTTTCAAAGAGGAGTCCATACTTTTAAAAATACATTCAGTATTTGAAGTCATTCATGAAAAATGTGAGTACTTTGGTATCATGTTACAGTAAAATTGTTACCCTGTATTCAGAACAACCCACAGGGTAACTTGTTCTAGTCAACTTTGGCTACATCAAAGCATAATGTGTATAAAACACAACAGCCCACTAAGTGATGACCATCCCATCGTATCAATGTACACCGATCCTTGGGGTATGCATTTGTATGCTAAGGTCTGTGAAACAAATTGGGTATTTTCATCAAAACCTTCACAAAATTTGTAAGAAGGAAGGTTCAGCATATCTTATGGAAGTATGCTTACTTTTGTTACACCTTAGACAAAAAAAAAATAATTAACTAATGTTGAACTGGTAGGCTATGCAGTATTAAAATGAAAAACTTCTGTGGGGAAGGTTAAGCAAACAACTTGTCGTGAGTATTTCTGTAGGAGGCATAATCAGTATGTGTAGTATATCATGTAAAAGCTACTTAAAAAAATTAATATGCAAAATTTAAAATCAATTTGTATTTTGATTATGTAAACTGAACTGTTTATGCTTATCTCCTAAGAAAGCACACTAATACGTACCATATGGTACATAACATGGTTAAACCAAAGATGATGTTAAAGCTTTTTGTAACATAATAAAAAAAAGTATCAAAAATGTGACATCTTCCTTAGCGTATTAGGGATGACCTTAGAGAAACTTTCAACAATTTTTGTTTCAAAGTGTCAGTTGTTTCATATTGTTCTTTTGCCACAATCTGTTTGATAAAGCCCTACTAAAACGCAAAAAACTAAATTGTTAACATGAAGTTTAAATAAGGGGGTTGCTCAGACTTTTTTTGCCCACCCTGTAGTTAAGTACTACTGAAAAAAACACACATGTATTTCTATTTTCAACCTACTATGAACAAAATATTCACATACTTCTATGCACTAAATTTAAATATGCACAAACTTAAAATTACAAGTTCTTAGGCAAATCTACCAAATAAATTTTGAGCATACATATATATCAAATATTAGATTAACAACAAAATAGTTGTTTCTAATAATCAGTTAGCTCAAAACAATTCATAAAAACTCTTGAACCACCCAAAATTAGGATAACTGAAATATTTTATTTTTCACAAGTGCTTGAGTTAATAGGTTTCTTTTGTGATGCTAACTTTTTCTTTGGTCCTGTGTGTGTGTGTGTTGTAATACTAACTTTTTTCTTTGGTCCTGTGTGCTTTGGAATATCATGAATGAAATATTTTATTGGTATTTTGTGTTTTTATAATAGAAAATTCATGCACAATAAAAAATAAAACACGTATATTTTACATCTTGTGACTGACATAGCTACCTCAATTGAATGTAACAAACTTATGTTTAATGACAAATTAACAGTAAAAACTAATAAAATAAACATATAGTATTTACAAATCAGACTAGTATGCTAGAACAATACTACATAACATATCACATTAAGATTCCAAACCATCACAGTAGGTCAGGATAGTCATATGAGAGCACTTATATTCCCCCCTCCCTATTTTTTTAATAAGCACCTCATTAAGTTCATCACATATAAAGATAAGTGAAAAATGAAATCAACCCATCTATAGTAAACAAACAGTAGTTCTAGAAATATTATTTATAATACTTACTACCTGTATGACTAGTATGGTCTCTAAAATTTGTTCAAACTACTATATAGGTTTATGACATAAAACTTATTATATATAACATAATTTAAGTAAATAATTGTAAGTTTATTCAAGTATTACTTTTTATACTCCTATTGCAGTCATTTCAGAACATTTTATAAAATGCTTTGCTGACAAATATAATTACCAATCAAGTTAATAAAAGTATTTGTATTTATGGCAAAGCTACTAAGGCTATTTGCCATCATCCCTATTGTTGAACTAATGACCAGAGGGAAAACAGCCATCCAGTGAGTAGCACCCTACTCACCAGCTAATGGACTGATTGTCACTCTTATAATGCATTCATAGCTTAAAGTTTGGGGAATATTTTGTGGGATTTGAACCCATATCATTAGCTGTGAAATCCAAAGTTATACCACAAGGTCAAACCATGCTCAAATAAAAACAGACTATGGAAATAAATATCCTCAGATATTCTTTGGATGATATAAACTGTGCATATTTTAGTCGAAAGAGTTAATGATGTTAAAACGTGTACAATGTAGCATAGAAAAAAGGGTTTATCACACTTAAGCATCATTAAAATCTTAAGCAACCACAGTGCTATCTTATGAGAAATGTTCTTATGGCTAAAAGTAACTTCTAATTCGTCAGATATGGAATTCATAGAAACATTCAGATAAATGCCATGCACGTATGCAGGGAGGGTTTTTTTTCGACTGATCCCCCTATTTTTGTGATGTAAAAATATTATGCTTATATAGTTACAGTGCAGCTTCTTGTGGTATTTAGCATATTCTACATAGTCTGCATTCTTCTGACAAAGCATTAGCACTTTTTGGCTCGAAATAGTCGCATACCCCCAGATCCCCGTAGCATTAGCATGCCTTGCATGTTGATTGTGCTTCGCACAATAAATGTCAGCTTTTGATCTCACAAATTAAAACCCCCTTTCAAACATTGTGTGTAAGGCCTGAATGCACTTAAACATCAGCATATATACACACACACATATGTAAAATTCTACTTAAATAATTCTAAATAAATTGTTTGATAAATATTTTATCTCTTGTTCGGCTGTACCTTTAGCTTTATTATAGCCTTTTTCTCCATTATATTTTATCTACAGTAAAGATTATTGTAGTTCATTCTCACAACACTAGCAGCAGGTTAATAAAGCAGAGAAAGTTTAAAGTATTAAACATTTTTTGTGGGTTAGATGTTTTTCAGACGATACAACTTAAGAAATGATACCATAACATTCATGTAAATACAATAAACCTTTTGAGCTTAAAAAATAACATTATCTTATGTTTAATGATAAATTAACAGTAAAAGTTATACAGTAAAACATATAATTCTTATATTTCCTTGTATCTCTCTTTTTTTTTTCAAAAAGCACCTTATTAAGTACCTCACATCTAGTGATAAATGAATCACGAAATCAACACATCTATAGAAATACAAACAGTAGCTCTAGGAAATATTATTTTTTCTAATATTACTTGTGTCTCTAAAAAAGCACTTTTATATTGGTCTATCAGGTAATTTTACTATTAAGATAAAGTAAGGAGATATTGTATCTAACTTTGAAGCACTAGCATTTGATTAACCTCATCACATTGGGTGTGACCTTTATATGGAGTTAACTAGAGCAATACTCTTTTTTTTTGCAGGTGTTTGTGAGCATGGAAATTCTTTTACTAAGATTACTTCAAAACTAAGCTTTTCCAAGCTAATCAGTATTAGTAAAGAAGTGATGGGTAATAAATATATATATAGATAATTTCAATTTCCTAATCTAAGTATACCAGGTTAAACCCTGAGAAACACAGCACTTAGTTTTTAAAATAAAAAAAATACCAATACTTTAGAACTGATAATAGAAATAGCAAAATCCTACAATGTCTAAAAACAAAAAATAAAGACTGTAGTAACAGCTTTAAGTACATCGAGAGTTATTTAAAACATTAAAAATAAGCCATCAGTTTATTTAAAACATTAAGAATAAGCCATCAGTTTATTTAAAACATTAAGAATAAGCCATCAGTTTATTTAAAACATTAAGAATAAGCCATCAGTTTATTTAAAACATTAAGAATAAGCCATCAGTTTATTTAAAACATTAAGAATAAGCCATCAGTTTATTTGAAACATTAAGAATAAGCCATCAGTTTATTTAAAACTGTACGCAAAAGCCACACTCTTCTCATAAATTGACTAGAACATTAATTGCAAAGATAAATAAATAAATATTTCATATTATATATTCCAGTTTGAGTTGAAAAATATCAACAAGTTAACTTAAAAACATGATTTATCACCCAATATGGAATGTCACTCAAAATTCAATGAAATTCTGAAGTGTATGATAAAAGTTAAACAATTGTAAAAAAATCTTAATTTTGTCAACTTGTTGCTACACACAAAAAATTTGAAGCTGTAGACTAAATGTAAACTGTTAGTCAATAAATAAATTTTAAAATAAGACGTTATGGTAGTAAATTCTGATTACGTACCCATTAATTTCTACACTTCAAAATAATTCAAATAAAGTAGTATACAACATGAAATAAATCAGTAACTAATCACAAACAATAAAACAAAAACTATACTCTTATCCAACAAAATCTACTAAATATTAGTCATAACAAATAAACTTCATTATGCAAAATAAATTATAATAAAAAAGTATAAATAATTTCTTCACACATTTTACTAAGTTACAAAAAAAATCATCACTTAATAAACAATAACAAGTTAAACTATTTCTTAGTCAAGTTTCTTTTTAGAGTTTTTATCCTTTTGTTTGCTAAGTTGGCAAAGAAATAATAATAAATTCTGTTTTCCCTTCCAAGTAAATCTTATAATCTTGTTACTTCATCCGTGTAATTTTCTTGACTACCACTTAGATCTTTATCTTCTGAGATATCTGTATTAGAAATAGTGCCACCACCAGGTTCTTGAGGTACCATGTAAGTAGATACCACTTTGGATGGAGAGTTTGGACTAGAAGAACCAGAAAAATCTGTGCTTTCTGACAATCCTGTGCTGGACTGTGACTCAAGACATTCCCAAGATCCATGAGGAGTTGTCATAGTAGATACAGTCATGCTTGGACAGTTAAAAGATTTTCCACTGGAAGCAGCTTTTGGCAAGGTTGCAAACTGGGTCCCACTGACTAGAGATGAAGACTGGGAACCTAAGTGATGGCTGTAGTTTGGTTCCGAGAAGAGGGAAGATGTCATCAAGTTAGGGCTGCCCCATGAAATGTCCAAGGAACTGATATGACTACTACAGTCACTACCAGTACATACTGAGATTGCAGAACCGTTGCAGCTTCGGAGACTACATGGACTGGGCAGTATCATTTGACGCACTTGCGATGGAAACAGTGGACTGGGTGGAATCCGAGCTCCTCGTGCTGTCCATGCTGCAAGTAAAATATTTTTATAGTGAGAATAATAGGGGGATCTGATTTGATACCACAAAACCTAATTAAAAATTTAAGAATACATGACGATCAATAGTAACTCCTACTTTATAATTCACAGAACTACTAATAGTTAAAAGTTACAAAAGTTTAAATGTATATTTTGCTGTTGTTGTTGGATAACAATTCAAATACCAAGAATACTAAAGCAAGGCAGAATTTACTTTAACTTTATTTCTATGATACACATAACTTTACAGTAAGCAGAATAAACTATGAAAAATTGAATTTCCTATTGTAAATCAGTAATCCTATCTTGATTTTACTTAACTACTCAAATACCAATGTTATCACTTAATGTTATACAGGTAAATCAACATTATTATTCACAACTTTCAGTGAAGAAAGGTTTGATTTTTTTCTAATACTAAACATTTTTTATCCTTTGTACCATTCATAATAAAATTGAATTGAGATACTTCCAACAATCACACTAACTGAAATCCATTAGATAATCCTTTATAAACAGTAAATTTGTTTGTTAATTTCATGATAAATAATTGTTGCATTGGAATACAGTCCTAAAATATATTTTGATTATTTTCAAAAAATTATAACTCATTGAGTTTGTAAAATCTTCTTTAGCAGTATGACTGTAAAATTTGTATAAAGTTTCTTAATCCATGTTTCATGTTGATATTATTGTAATCAATGAGAGAAAACCTTTTAAATATTTAAATACAGTTATGGTATAAAAGTGCCAAAATATAACTGTGAAGTTACTCTGACAGTACAAAGCCTCACATATACTAAAGATGTAACCCACTTGTAGGTCAACATATTGTCAGTATCAAATGTAAACCTATTTTAAATTCAACTGTGTTGTTTTAAAGCCTATCTTACTTCTTTTTTCTATGAGAAAAAGTCTCATTCCAAAAAAATTTGGAATGACTAGTTATCAGATTTTGTTTTTTTTACCATGTTAAAATATTTCCAGCAAGAAAAAACATTGCTTGGTTTTAGGTATTGTGTGCTAAAATTATCAACTTTCTTGGTGGTAAAAGTCAGTTCAGAAAATTTCTACTTGTATCAGTACACATTCGATTTCTCTTGTTTAGTTAAACTTGAAACATGAGCTGATAAAGTCTAGAATAATTTGTTACAAATACAAACTTGTAAAATTACACTCACCAAGGACAAGTTGATGTTCTTTGTCACAAAGTTGTTCAAGTTCACAAATTTTCTCTTGAAGAACTTGCTACAAGTAAAAAAGAGAAAGACTGTTCTTTTACTTTGAAGTTAAAACTTACTTGCTAAGCATAAATACTATATATATCTTAGAGAATTGAAAAAAATAATTGCAATTTGTAATTAATTTTTTCATATTAAGTGTTCTAGCTTGTATATGCAAAATAAATTTTCAATTACTTGTACTTTGATATGGATTTAAAATATTTTTACAAATCAACACCTAGTACAGAGCTTTGTACAATTTAGTATGAGTTTGGATTTAATCTTCCTTTATGTATGAATAAAATGTAAATAGTGTTATTCATGTAGGTAATCTAGGATTGTGAGGTAATGATTCAATGCAGCAGTATCTTTTCTAACCAAGAAATGTTTACATCTCACTCTGATCCAATGGCCAAATAGTTCAAACCTGCTAAGCATCAGTCCAGTAAGAGCATAAGGCCTAAGTGCAGTTTGTGCATAAATAAAGATTATTACTGTTAATTGTTGCTTTACGCATGATCAAATGTTTTTCTTTGCTGTCCATGTTTGATTTATTCCTTGAAAAATATTTCTTGCACCTGCTATATATTATGGATTTTGATAACCTGTTGTACACTAGCCAGCCTTAATATCACAAATTAAGCATAACTAATACTGCATGGGAATTTTTAAGTCTACTGGCAGAATGGGAAAAAATTAGTAAAATTGTGAATTAAAATATCTCACAATTACCTCTGAAATGACTTCTTTGACAACAACATTTTTGAAGTAATTCTATCTATTAAGTTATATTAATGGAACTGGAATTTTAAACCTGAACACCACTTTATGTATGCATGGGATAAATGGCTAGATTAGACACCCTTGGATTCAGGTACAGCCATTTCTAATTCTAAGAGAAGGCAACAACTCAACAGCAACTGCATCACAAGGGCTTTGATTGGCTATTTGTACCTAATAATGGGACTGATTATTACTTTTATAAAGCACCTACAACTGAAAGTGCAAAGTGTGTTGCCCAGCATCATTACTCAAACCCTAGACCATTCGATCTGCCATTCAACACAGCTAAATGTAAACAAGTTATATTAATTCTTTCTATAAAGGGTTGGTCAATGCGACCAACTTCGTAACCATCAGTAACCTGGTAGGTGTATCTCCATGAAATGTGACAAGCTTCCAGTAGATATTACAAGTCTACTGTACACACAAAAAAATCTGATTTTTTAATTAAGTATTTTTATTAAATATTTACCCATGAATATATGAAGTATGAGAGTTGACTGCTCTGAGTGCTGCAGATTGTAACAGAAAACTACAATTGTTCATCCTGAATAACTAAAGCCTGGTAACAGTCTACATCTGTTTATATTTAAGTTTATTGTCTTATTGCCCTTTGATCTATGTCTAACTAATAATTATGCCATACAAGATGTAAATCATTTGGTAAATCTGCAGCTCACACTACTGTACTGAATGATGTAACTCACTAGCTTTTTGTGAGCATACTTCATGAAGAATTTATTATTTTTTATTATGTTACCTAATCTAAAACTTACATAATGTAACAAGTTTTTAATTTTTACATTTTATTTACTTTTATAACAACAAATAAAAAATATACATGAAAAACATGAAATATAGTACGCTGGATGCCACTTATTGTGATCACAGATAACGTTATCATTTGTATAATGTCATCAGAATTACTAAGTCCTGACCAAACATATAAAAATACATAGGAAAAACATCATTTATTGTAATCAGCACTTCATTTTTTGTTATAACTTTTAATCAGCTTAACCATCTCAAAGTCAATTGATCTGAGGAAAATTGACCATAAAATAGGGCGTGGCTAAGTTGTCATTAAGATCCCCTATGCTCTTGCATTTCCTTTCCATAATTACAGTACAGTTGTTTTCGTTCCTTCATGAAAGACGGTGCTCCCATGCATTTCAATTTTTGTTAACTCTCTTTAATAATGGAAGAAGTACATAAGAAACATAAAGATCTAAGCCTTAAAGAAGAATTCATGGTGTTTTAAAGGTGTGAATAAATTACTCGTTGATTACTGCTCAAACTACAATGCTTGGATGACAGCCCTGATCTTTAATGATTGGTTAATGAAATGGGATAATGAGTTGAAACACAACATTGTTCTGCTTGTTGACAACAAAGTTACTGGCTGGTATTGAAAAATTGAGAAAATGAAGATGCAATAGTGTACAGTGGAGTGCAAGCACATTTAGTTGATGAATCTGAAAAGTAAAACATTAAGATAATAAAAAACTTTTTATAGGGATTGGGGAAGAGGATAGAAATGAGGACTTAAGAGTCAAATAATTGTCTATTCTAAGGTATTTGAATTATCACATGAGATAACAAAGAAAAAAGAACTGAGATACAACAAACGGGCAGTTCATAATTTACAAACCTTCAATCTAATGTATTTCATGTGCAGCTCTACTTTGTGAACACAGTCTTCAAACAAGACTACCATACGCATTGTCTTCTCACAGTTCTGGATATAATGAACAAGTGTCCTGTGGTCAACCTTTTCCATATCCTGTCCATTGATAGAGAGGATCACATCACCTGTAAGAACATTTGCTGTTTAAGTGCATATTGTAACACTGAGACTTAAAAAAAAAACTGCCACTAACTGGAAAGTTATGCACACTGACAGCTAAACATCCAAACAGTGAATCTAGTAATTTTTGAGACAGAATCAAATATAACAAGTTTTCAGTTATTATTCATACTTATTTTGCTGTGGCTGTAATACATCAGCAAAGAAAATAACACTGAAGTGTGTCGGAAGTACAGTATAAATCAGGTTGCATTATAAAAAGTTACATTATTATTACCCAGAGTTTAAGTAACAATGCAAAACAAACACTGATCTTACAGTTGCCTCTAACACTAACTGCTCTTATTGTTCAGGGAGTGATATCTTCCATGAATGAGCTTTTACTTTTTATTTATTATTTGTTCTTAATTTCCAAATTTTATTTCAATTCATGAAATATATAATTCACTTTTAGATTTATTGTGCAAAATTTCACCAATTATTGAAATGAACTTATTTCTAATATATTTCTATCCCAGTGAACTACTTAAGAAAAATAATAAAGCAAAATATTTTTATATCTAAACATATCAACCAATTATATTTATGAATCCAGTGAAGCCAAGTCTGTGGCTAATTACTTCCATAATGTAGTCTTGCAACTATGGAATTTAAATAATAAATTGATTAAAGTTGCAGGTAACAGACAAGGCTTAAAAGTTCACAGGCTCATTCTTGACAAGGCAAACAAAAGTGTACCGGAAGTGTGAGAAGGTGGAGTAGTGGGGTAAGAATCTATTAAAAATACATTTTCAGGTAAGGAAAATGTTAAGTTCTGACACATTACTTACCAGAATGCACAACTAAGAACCAGAATCCCACACTGATGATGGTGGAGGAGCTGGTGCAGACAAACAACAAAGATGTGCTCTTTCTGAAAAAGTGACAGGAAGGGAAAATTCATAGGGTGTGACTTCCACAAGACTAGAGGTCACCTAATGGAGTAGCACCTGCTGGGAGTTTGCAACCTTTTCACAAAGGGAATACTCTTTTGTACAATCTGTTACGTATTGATTTACTTAATATTTTCATTAGAGAGAGAGTAGAGCAAAGGATATTGGGAAAATCTAGTACTGGTGGTAAATGTTCCTAAGGTGGGCAGAATGATAGAAAGTGTAGTGTGAGAAATACTTTTCAAGAAATACTTATTTGAGGTAGATACTGAAACTACAGGTGGATGGAGGTGGCGACTTCACCTTCATTCTGAAGTAAAACCAAGGCTTATCCGACCGGGGAAGTATGAGTTCTTCCATGCTCTATTACAATAACAGGGAAGGGGACCAATATGAGAACAATGGAGTGTTTGGCCCACTGTAATCAGCCACAACATCTAGTCCCCACCTAGATTTAGTGCAATCAGTTACTACAAGAAAAGACAGAAAGTTCAAGCAGGGTTTAAGAGAAGGACTACATCTGGTGTTTCTTTTTTTTTGTAAAAAGGTGCAGAAACAGACATACCAGTTACATAGATAAATTGCTAAATCGGTCTTGCAGAAAACACCATCTCAATGGTGGGCACAGAGTGGGGATGGACAGGTTTAATGCTTCCTGTTCTCCCCCACTTGAGGTGGATTTTGGGTAATTATTTCCTGTGAGGCAAGGCCAGCCATTTGGTAGGATCCAACGGCACCAAGCATAAGGAATGTAGTGTGTAGTTCCTCTTGTTACATTCAATCTGGTGTGTCTTGCCTCCTGTTTATGTTGTTTGTTTATGCTTGTGATCATTTTGCAATAGGTTGGAATGCACAGAAAAATAATGGCACAGATATAGAGGTGCCATGAAATGCATGAATGACATGGAGATGACTGAAACTCAACAGTCAAAACTCACCACACTTGAGCTGCTGGGTAGATTGGTGAGAGGTGAGAACCAAAGACATATAAAATCTTCCAATGATGCAAGTAATTGAAAGTGAATGTGTTAGGTATAATCCACATATCAGCTTGTAATATTTCCTCCAAAGGCTGTCAACAGAAAGAAGCAAGAGAGACTGTGATATTTTAATCTAGTGGGAGGAGACATGAAAGAGTGTACAGTCAGACTCACCCAAAGAAGAATATGCAAGACAGATGAGCTGGCAAACCAAACCAATTAAAGTGGAAGGGGACAAGTTCCTAGAGGGGGAGGTCTGCCATAGTAAAAATAGGTGATGGTGGTTGCTGTGAAAAGTGGTAGTCCAAGCAAGATAGTAACTAACAATGATAAGACACAAAAAGCAATCAGGATTAGAATGATCATACAATAAGAAAATACAGGGGAAAGAAATATGAGAAAACATATGATCATCTTCCCAGGCAGCCCAAGTTTTTGAAAAAGTGAAGTGGTTTGGAAGATAAGAGTATGGAAGGCATCTACGACAAAAATGTCCAAGCAACACCAACCACAAGCAAGTCAGGAAACCAGGGACACAATGGAAGATTGCTGGGGAGCAGCCTCTGCCTGGGATACCAAGGAGTCTGGAACACCTCCAGAATTGCTCAGTAAGAATAGGGGCAAAATGAAAGTCATGGAGTTAAGAGAAAAGGAGGCAGACACCTGTAATGAAAGCATCCCTATTGAGGAGATTCCAAAAACCAGGCCAAAAAGAAGACACCAGGGGAAGTAGTAGTAGTAAACAAATAGGAATGGGTGTCCCCAACAAAACTATATGGGTAATGATGGAGAGCCTCAGTGAAGAATACAAATAAAGCAAAGGAGATGAGTTGATTGTTGGTAAGAAATAAACAATGAAGAAGAATGAGGAGCACTCCCAAGTAGACAGAAGAAACTCAAGATACTGGGATTCAAGAAAAATAGAAAGGCCATAGAAAAACAGTCATGGAGACAAAGAGGACAAGTAAAACACTGATCAACAAGAAGTTGGAACAAAAAGGCATCGGCATAGGTACAAATATCTGGGGAGAGAGGAAGGGGAAATAGCAAAAGTTATCAAATGGAGGTTCACGAAGTAAACTAAGGAACCTGAGAGGCATCGGGAGTGACTGGTGAAAGACAGAATGTCACATACCTGAGTAATGAATGAAGCAAACAAAGGAGCAGGTATCTGTTCCTCATTAGGAAGAGAAGAATCAGAAGCAATGGCTGGAGGAGGAAAAAGATTTGAATTGAATGAAACAGAGAAACAAGAAACCGGAAATGAGGAAGAAACAGGCAAAAGGGAACCAACCACCCACCTGATGCACAATAGTTGTAACATCATGAAGAGATAATGTGCCTCCAGTCACCAATGTTACAAGTGGAGAGGATTCTTGAAGAAAAACATCACTGCCTTGGGACATAGAAGCACCATGAATTTCCAAAATCATGGTAAAAAGGCAAATCCATGAGTGAAAAGTATTTCTTTGTTGTATGTAAACAGGAAAACAAAAATTGTTATTAGGTCGATGGAACAAAAATGCAAAAATAAATAATAATAAAAAAAAAAGAGTCAATCAAAATAGTGGAAAAATAAATGCAGAGGAAAAAACATGCCTGAACACAGACAGTGCCTAGGACAGAAAAGGCCTATAATTCTGTGTATCACTCCCGAGCATTGTTGAATGGGATCACAAATTCTTAAATAGCAAGTAAAAAGGGCATGTTCTAGCAGATATTCAGTATAGTTTTTCCATTTAATATAACGAAATGTAATTATTATCACAACCAAAATATTAAAATTTCATAGTATGTTAAGATTTGGTTTTACATTGTGCCATTGTGGCTGGCACTTCTGTAAACATTTTTTAAAGTAACTGACATTTACCAGTTGCCAAAAAAGTTAGTTTCAAGATATGATAGATCAACATTTCAAAACATTTTTTTAAAAACAAATTTGATTATAGATTAATCCGCCAGGCACTGTTAAGAAAAGAAAAATTTTAATGTGGAAAATAACCATCATGTAAAAACTACAAAAAATTGAAATACCCATTTTTTTCCATCAGAGAAGACCAGGGATGGCACAAACAGGTATTCCTTATAAAAATTCCTATCTTATATTTTTAGTAACTATTATTTCTTTTTCCAACTCACCTGGTCTCATTCCTGCCCTAAAAGCTGGTCCCTCGTACTCGACATAATCCACATAAGTAATAAGTTCTACTTCAGTGTCTTGCCTGTGGTGGATTCCATATGTCTGAGAAAAGATAAATCAAGACTATTTAACCACATTTTGTATAAATTGGAGAACAGTTTGTTAAATAATTAAGAAAATATAAAACTTTTTGAGATGAGAATTTATTAAACCTGCTGCAAAAGCATACCATCCATTTTTCATAGATCTGGTAAATAATAAAACTGACAGCTGAACAAGAAACATAATAATTTTCAAAAAGATTACAATTATATACTTGATAAAAATAAGTTACTTCATGTTTTTAATAATGAAAAAAAAAACAGTTAAACAATTTTCAGTATCAAGCATTACTAATACTGTTTTTTGAGGTAGAAAAATTAAAACCACAGTGACAATACTATAATAGACTTCTGAATAATTCCCTCAGCAATGAATAAAAATAATTGAAGTATATATTTTCTATAAATCACATAGCTTCTTTGCAAAAAATTATAAAACATTTCACTGATACAGTAGTAAAGATTAATTATTTTTACAACTTAAAAAATTCTATCATCGGTTCCACTGATGAAATGTTGTTTTTAATAAATTGCATGTGGAAAAATGAAATTTTTTATAAACTAGTGAAAAAGGACAGAATTTTGTTCAGTATTTTACTTATAATTGGTATCGGCAATCAGAATTGGTAGAAGTTGTCAAGATCATAGAAAACTGATCACAGAGAAATTAAAAATAACACCACCTTAACCACTTTATATTCACAACAACAATCTTTTGATGTGTCAGTATGCTTACAATCACGATCCTGTACTTTTTCCTTTTTCTTTCAACACAAAACATGAAACATTATGCACCATACAATAAAATATCATCAGTTAAAACAATCTCTGTTTGTTTTTCATTTATCTATATAAGCTGATACACTGAAAGAAAGAAAGTTTAAAAAAACAATGCTTTACACATCTCGAAGCCCACCCATTTCTTTATGAACTGTACATTACATTATGTAGCTTACATTACATTACATGGAGGTCTTAGAATCATGCTGGATTATGAACAAAACTTTCAAACACTGTCACTTTATTTGAACTTTGGTTGGAATACTTCGTTTAGTTTAGAAAGTGGTTTAGATCAAAATATGTAGTGTGATAGCAAAGTCTTCAGACACATGGCTGAAGTGACTAATGAATTTAGGCAATGAACCTCAACAATTTGTTTGTCTCTCACAACGATCACATAACGTTATGTATCGATCATGTACTAGCCACAAAGTCAAGCCCCATTTTTTTCACCTGTTCAAATACAAAATGGAAAAGAGATTGAGATTTGTTTTTTGCATGGCACATTTATTGATAACTTCAACCGTTTCAAATTTAATGAAGCTCCAAAGTACATTCTCTGTAGTCATTACAATTTTTAAGTTTAAACTGTTAATAATATTACATAATGACATCATCAACTTTACTGTACATAAGCAGAATCAGAAACTGGAATTGGTTCGATTGTGAGCTATAAAAATGTGCAATTGGTGATTTCTGATTCTGACATGATCGGTAAAACAGTAATTCTGTTAATTTTGGGTTGTGCTTCCTCTAGTGATTCTTTGAGGCACTTCATATAAGTGAACAAGGCTATCTTGGTAACAAATTTGAATAAAACAGTTTCTGAAACTATACAATGGATCAATGAAAGGACATACAGACTTACGGTTACTTAATGATCTTACACAAGTATGCTCATTTTTATAGCATTCTAATGAACCAATTTTGGAGTACTTAGATTGTTACTGTTCTACACTTCTACACTGAACAAAATGTCAAGAATAATGAAATTAGGTTCCTACAAGTGTACATTTTGTAGATTGATTGATTGATCTTCTACCAGTAAGTCAATTACCTACTTTTCTTTGACAATGTTAATAAAACCTTTTAAACAAATTTATCTAATTTGAAAGAACTGGAGCAAATCATTAGTGAGTTCTCATTTTTTTGGTATTCTGCTAACCATTTGTGGAAAATTAAGTAATCTGTAAAAATATGGTGACCAATAAAAAAAAATGTATCCCCCCACCCCCATGATAAAAAAATGGAGTTTAATGACATAAAGAACAGTTAACATAAAAGACATAACATTAGTATAAAAGGGCAGTTAATGTGGTTTTATTTAGGAGTTTTAGAAATTTTCTTAACATCTACTAGTTTTTGATGTTAGATGTGTACTATTACAAATACTTGAATATTTATAAATACACTCCTGTTTTATATGTAATGCATGGATCTTCAACAGATATTTTTATAAACAACAGTCTATTACATTTTTCTTTACAGTTAGCTTCATTACATATTATCGGTTATAATGTTCAACATTATATTTTAATTAATATGAAACTTAAGAAGATTATTTGCATTGTTATCTTAGTATATGTAACTAGGATGAATCTAAATCTATCAACTTGCTGGTTAAATCTTGTGAAATTTTGTTATTACAACTGGAACTACTGTTAAATGGAAGGGTACTCACAACTAATGATTCATTTCATTCCAATTATTACAGTTTTACTTAATAAGGACACTTAACATTTCAAGTCAGTCTGTTATACATGATTGTTGTCATTAGTTTCTGGTTCTGATCTACAAAGTTTGGTACTTCTGTTAATAATGTTTGCTACAGTACTTAAAATTGTATACACAGATTTAAGAATTGTTTTGAAACTTTAACATGAAACTTTAATGAGAGATGCATTGAAATCACTCAATTCCAATGGAGGGGAGATAGAAGACTTGTGGTATGTGTATTTGTTTTGTATATAGAGGGCAGCACTGAACAAGAATAGCTATTTATGTGAGAGAAGGTAATGTTATATCCCAGCCAGCCTGAGGAGTCCTTGTATTGGGTGAAAGGCCTCGTTGGTACTGAATATGGCAAAAGTAGTGGGTTAAATATTATTCTTTGCTTTTACTCATAAGTATATTTTAATGTTATATATTATACTTTGCACTGCTGTATATTCTATTCAGTATTAGTTACTTAATCAAATTTTCTTTATTCCCTTTTCTTCTTGTCCTTTCTTAAATACATTGAAATGACCATGATCATTGTGTTGGGGTTGAAAACAATATATTTTATAGCATATCAGCCACCTAATGATGGGCACAGATCTGAAGTACAGTATATTAATAATTATTACAACACAAGTTTGGTTGATTCATTTACTGTTGTAAAAATTATATTTTCTAATGTATCAATTTTTACAGTGTCTCACATTAAAAAGTTTTCAATCTTGTTTGGGACAGTATCAAAACCTCATTTATACTATAGATAGCCTTGAATAAGATCGTATTGCTATTAAACATTTTCTTATATTAAGTTTATACTGTTTTCATAATATAAAGGAAATGAAATGAGGCAATGTTAGTTTCTTGCCAGAGATAAGTACTAACTATATGAACATTTTCTAACTTGTTAATCATTGCAGATCAGAACAAGAGGAACAAATACAAAGATAAAGAATATTAGAAGAGGACACAACACAGATAACAATACCAACTGCTACACGTTTCATTATTGAAGCATAATTCTATGTACATACTCTGAGAAAATAAATTTCAAAAGAATGATAGAATGAAAAGAAGTTAGTATAATTAACACGTACAAGAAACTGAGTGAGTTTGTTACTTATGTATATATATATGTGTTTTACATTAAAGCTACTTTTTTGTCATTTATGCTACTGTATAAAGAAAGTCATTAGAATTTTCAGATAATTGCTACTAGCCTTTTAATTATATTGTTAATTATTATAGATAAAATTTAAAACCATTTCAATTACATGTACTCCCCCCATCTAATAAAGTCATAAAAAATAATTTTAATACAGCCAAACAGTTGCATTCAATTTTCAACCACTTCCTATACAGGAAATGAGCTTTCATTTAAGTTTCAATGACATAGCTTAGTCATTTCAAAATGTTTATTAAACTCTTATAGAAAGGCTTGAATGTAAAGATATTGATGATTCTACAATCCAAGAATTAAATAAACAAATTCTTTGTTACAAAAGTACATCCCCTTAGACTGATAAAGATATATAAAGTACATTACACAAAATAAAAAACGTAAATAATTTTTTGTTATTTAAAAAATAACACTGTTTTTATTTACAAATTTATATTTTCCATAAAAAGGACCGATATGATACCATTTGCATCTATTTAAGGAAGTATATAATTTACTTGCTATTAATTTTCATTTTTTTGTTACGGAATTATACAAGTAAAAGGCATTTCTTAACTACATTATGAGTTTTTTTTACTGACTCTTTAGAATTCTAAATTATCACCAATAATTACATAGTCTCCTAAAATCAACAACATTCTTTTTGTGCCATTGCCTGAAAAATTCCATAATACCAAAATAAACTAAATAACATTACCTTTATTAGAACTAGAGTTGTATAATAAATGTTGGTTCACAGTTTTCATTGTGCTTAGAATACGTTTGCTTAGTTACATTTCCAATCTCAAAAATTATACTTTAAAGTTACCATTACAATTCACCATTTTAAATGAGTGGATTGCCGTAATAATATTGCACAGAGCCTGATATTAACACTCAAAAATATGCTACACACAATAAACATCAAAAGCTAAAAAAATGATATATTTTTCATCAAAAATTAAAATCAGGCTTACCTGAAGAGTAAAACCAAAGGAACCATTTTTTCTTTCGACAATAATAGTTCTACGTCTTTTGTCTTCTTCGGGTTGGGTAATAATTACCCTGTCCTTCTGAACACGTTCTAAGATTTGATGCTAATGGAGAATGACAGAAAATTGTACTAGTCTGCAAAAAACAGTAGTGTTTTTTCACTTGTTCTGAGCCACACATAAAAAATAACAACTTAAGCATAAGTTATTTTTATAATGGATAGTAAGCAAAACTTTCAAAATTATGTTAAATGTTAAGAATGTTAATACTAATGTAAGCAAAATTTTTGTAAATGTAAATTACAAACTTCAGGGTATACAAATTATTAAACTGATTCTTAAAATGTTACATGTATTTAGTGGAATCAATAATTAAACAGAGCTCTCAGCTTTATATTCTAACATGTTACAAGCTTTTGGTATAACCATCCACGTGAAAGTACATTAAGCTTTGGTAACTCAAATGGTAAGAGAATTGGTCTCAGAGTATTAATATGAGCCAGGAGTCTTAGGTTCAGAGCACAAACATAATATAACAGGATGTTAAAAGATCTACACTGACCAGAGCTTGAATCAGGGTCTAGGACCCTCAGCCTACACTACTACTGTGAGACCAACACTCTACCAACTGAAAGAAATGAAGCAGATGACCCCACCCCCATCCTTGCTGTTACACATACAGTTTTTCACCGCATACTGGTTAGGCAAAGTGTACAGTTTCTATGAAACCAACTATTTATTAATTATACCTAAAGAAAACATAACTACATGAATATAACCCTTTATTACACTGATGAATAAAGCCTCAATATTCCATGAAAAAAGAAGCATTAATTTTAGTGTTCTAATGCTGTTATTGACTTCAGAGTTATTGTCAATATTAACATTTTGAAAAGGGTGTTAGGTACATGTATGTTGTATACATTACAAATTGACTTGACCCATGTAAAAATAGCTAAGCTCTTGGACGTCACATAGTTTATTTTCTATGCAGGACCTCAGCAATACAACTTTCAATGAAATGACAGAGTTCAATCTGTTTGATTTGCATGTTTGTAGGTGAGTTGTCAAGCAGGTGATTCATTAATCAGTAACATCTGAATAATCTGTACTTCATACCCCCAGAGCTTACAATCATAAGAAACATGACTGACTAGATTATCAATAGTGGCATAACTAAAAAAGATGAACCCCCTCCACATAAAAAGTAACTGGGCCCCCTAATTTTTAGGTTTGTTCTTCTTCTACAATAAATATAATAAATCTAAGGTATTGGTTCATAAATTTAGCAAAGCTTTCTATGTGATCATTATGTTTAAATACCATAAATGTTTCATTCATATAGCATCTGTAGTATATAGGTTTAAATTCAACAGGGCATGATTACAAAAACACATTAGCTGATACAGGAGCTAAAGGGAAATCCATCAACTTGCTCCTGTTTGTTACCATTAAATAGGAAATGAGCTTGTTCTGTAGTTGTCCATATAATTTATGAAAGATACACCTACTTAACCCATTAATCTGTTGAGCATCATTAAATACTAGATCTGTACAAAAACCAAGCCTCATTTAGTGCTATGTCTGTATAAGGATTTAATACCTAAACTAGCACAATAATATCCTTCCTTAATTTATAAATTCTTGACAGACTCACTACCTCGTAAATTCAAAACTGTCCTTGACTGTGCAGTCTTTAGACCTGCAAGTCTCAAGAAAGTTTGAGACAATTTGAAAATTTACAATTGAACAATTCAATATTAGACATTATGCATCTCAAAAGGAACCTATGTTGTAAATTTTTAATAATCTACATAAAATACCTGGTTTCAAATTTATGATTTGTTCAAGAACCTAATCTGATCATTAATAATATTAATTCTTTCCAAGTCTCATTAAAATGTCTCCTTGGGTTTTGTAGGATCACTGGTTAATCTACTGAATTTGGTTTTATCAAGTGTGTGATTGATCATCAGGAAATAATCATCCTTACTGATAATGACAATACCATTTCCTTTATTGGGTTTCAATATGATAATATCTGTTCAAGTTCTTAATCTTCTTAGAGCTTCCCATTGTTTATTAAATATACTGGGTTTCTTGCTATTGTTATATGAATCAAGTCTTTGTAATGTAGACAGTATATGTGATAGTTTCAGGTGTGGTAGAATAGGAGACTGGATGAATACTTTTAAAGATTATAGTTGGATATATAGTAAAAATGTACATCAATCACACTCCAAGTTAGTTAAGGTTTGGGGTTAGGGAACAATTTTTCAATACAGGGAATGAAGTCACTTAAATTTATAGTACTATCATAGGAAATCCAACTTTAATCCTCTAGTTAGTGTTTTCATTTTGGATTAACACTAACTAGTAATATGAATAATTATGAATTACTGTATCTAGTTTGCCTATAAAAAGACAATTTATGTTGTTGTTTCTTTTAAATGGGTTATTAAAAATTTATTAAACTTATTAATCACCTTATCATTTTGAGTTTGAATTATTTGTTTCAAATGGACAAAATCCAATTAACATTTTTTTTTTCCAGCTCCAAAGAATAGATTTTAGGAATTTAGTTTGGACTTGATAATACTGCTTACATCCTTTTTTGCAGCACTTGAAGTTTCAAACTGTAGAAATGTTGGAATAACTAAAATGTTTAGCACAAAATTAGAAACTTACAATGTAACTTATATTATAATCATTTTAGAGAATACTTCTCATAATTTAAAGGTTTCATTACCATACCTATCTATCTATCTAGGTTGTTGATTACAGTTAAAGGAAATCAATATATTAAAATATCACCCATTTTAAATATGTGGTGGTATGTAATAATTATATACAGATGTTACGGATAACAGTAATAAATTGGTCATGTAAATAATGTAATGGACAAATATGTTTTTATTTCCTTATAAAAACAAGTTGTTTGGTGTCAAATTTGTAAAAACTGGTTTCGTTGTTTTAATAATAAGTATAAAAAATGTATCTTTCTATATATATATATCAGCCAAGTGTCGACTGTCACGCTCTGTATCTCCTGAATGGTTAATCACAGAAAATAAATCATATAACAAAATGCTTATTTTCAAGAGTATCATTAAAGAAAAATTATTCATTTTTTGCAATTCCTAAAATATCATTTCGACATCAACATTGATCCATCAGTCTTTGTATGTGCTAAATGGTCAACCTGAGGAAAAAAACAACTTATAAGGAATAAAAATGTTTCTTTTTTTTTGAGGGAATTTCACACAAAAAAATGGAACTTCCACTGTCAATTGATTGAAAGAAATATTTCGGAGATAGGTGCATGAATGGAAATAAGGCACGAAGAGAGGAACATAACTATTTTTTTTCATGTTGGTATTATATATGTGCACGATTTTATTGTACTATGTCAAATAAATTGATTTGAATTGAATATTTTCCCTTTGATACTTTTTATAGAAATTACAATTGTCAAAAAGCACTCACTTCAGTAGCAGTCTTTAAACACACACTCAGTAAAATGACAATGGTGGCATCCAGTGGAAAAAATCCGTGCAGCTATTTAGCAAAGCTGAGTGCTCTAATGTGCTGGATGCATCCATTACATTGAAAAAGGTTTTTGCCAACATTGCATTGTATTTGGACTCCTTTGCTTAAAAACAAACACAATGAAGTATAACACATGGAATGACAACAGAAGGTTGTAAATGGCCCACTAGACAATCACTTTGTATATATACTCTGATCTAAGGGATTGGGTTGACTGCACACTTTATATTTATTTTTCATTATTTTTAGGTAAATTACTGTTGAATTGTTTCAATAGACATCTGTTAGTTCTTTATAATGCTAGTGAATTTCTGGGGAACCATAGGTTGATTAAAAATATACAGATTAAGCAACTACAATAAGCATTTAAGCAATATTTCAGAGTGGCAAGATTTTAATACCGTATTTGCCCGAATATAATGCGACCCCAAATACAATTCACACCCAATTTTGAAAGGTTAAATTGAAGAAAATTTGTTTTTTCACACATCAATTATATAAAATGTATTGAATAGTTTCTATATACAGTAAACAACTTTCAATGTATTAAACAATTTTGAAAATTTTTCTCTGAACTTTTTTTGACTTCTCAATTTTACAAAATTTATTCAAAAGTTTATATGTGGTAATACACTAAGCTAGTCATCCACCTTCGCATAAATAATCATCATCGCAAGAATTGTTGCTAGCATTGTTTTCATCAGATTTGCTTGAACTTTTGCTTCACCCTCTACTGATTCCCACACCATGTCATCATCATGTCTCCTCCATCCATTGCATTGAATATGCAACATTTTTTGAAACCTTTAATGATGCCTTAATGATTTTCAGTGGTAGCTTTTAGTAAAATATGTAACAAAACTGAACAAGCACAAATATAATGCACAGTCAAGTTTTTGGGAGGTATTTGGAGGAAAAAAAAGTTTGCATTATATCTGGGCAAATAACATAACATAACGTTCTGGGACATCATGGGACCTGTTAATCCATCTCGGCTGTTCCATCCTCAAAACTAAACTAAAACTTTCAATAAATAAATTTAAACAAAAATCTTAAAGCCAGCCCTTATCATGCATATACTTATCAAGCTTTCTCTTAAACTCAATTAAATTTACTGCCTCCACAACATTTGAAAGCAACCAATTCCAAAGGCCAACCACCCTGTTAGAAAAATAAAACTGTTCTAGCTGAAGATGACTCCTACCTTGCCAAAATTTATATTTAGTCCTATTATTCTCACTGTTAAGTATGATAAAAGATGATGCACCAACACTATCATTTCTCTTTACAATCTTAAACACCTGAATCAGATTCTCTCGAACTCTTCTTTTTTCAAGAAAAAACAATTTGAGAGATTTCAACTTTTCATATTACAACCCCAAATACAGTAACTGTAACAATAGAACCTAAATAAAGAGGTGGATATGGCTGAAATTAATCAGTGATGATTGGCTATTAGAAGCTTCCATAACCATGTAATTTTTATGCTACCATTCTGACACCAAAAAAGAAAACTACAACTTAATAAATATGATTATCACAATGAAATATGTCAAGTTTTTTGGCTTTTACAGAAAAATTAATAAATGAAAATTGAACCGGGTAACACAAATTTGTTATCGTTAAAACCAAGCATCATTCAGATGAAATTTCTGAAATCACTTCATTTACATTCCTGCATAAACAGAACAATTTTTGAACACACTAAGGAAAGATTCTATGGAAGAAGAATAAACTAAAACCAACCATTTCTAATCATAAATATTATATGTCTGTAGTGTTCTGTCATGTTTTAAATGTTTATTTTTAGTACTTAGCAAACATGAGTTATCAACAAAGAATAAAAAAAAGAGAAAAAATATATTTGTATGGTGAATAATAATATATATAAAGCTGATAAAAGAAAAGAAGGTCACAAACAGTATAGAATAATACTCGATATTACTTTTTTTGTGTGTGTGTGTGTTTATGTCAACTGAGTAGTGTAACTGAAAAAAAGGATGTTGGCCTAAGTCACTCAAGCCATTGAAGAAGTGCTCTATTGCAAATAGTATAGCAAATAGAATTTTAGGGTGTATTTATGAATATATTGATTACAAGTCAAAAGAGAAAAATATCTCTATGCAAATCGTTAGTTAGGACTCAGTACTGCCTTATTGGAAAGAGTTCATAGAATAGCTGCTGGTATGGTTCTGGGGACTGAAGGGTTATTCTATAGGGATAGATTATAATAACTTACTTTCTCACGAGAAAAGAAGGGATACGAGGTGATCATATTGAATTTTATAATATAAATTGTGAGTTTGATAAGATAAAGGCCTCTGATTTCTTTATTATGTATTCTGAAGACAACAGAATGATAAGGCACAAATTTAATATTTGGAAAGGACAGGCTAGCCCTCAGTTACTATAGTTTCACTGTAATTTTCCAACAATATAATTAGCTTATGTCATGAAATGTGTTGCTATTGGCAGTAGTGGAAGCTGGCACTTTACAAAAGTTTAAGAAAGGGAACCAATGATTTCCTGAAAAACAAAGGGTGGGTTTAAATGTTTACTTTTCTTAAAGGTGTGTGTGTTTGCAATTACACTGACAAAGGACCAAATGGTCCCTTACTGTCCATATACTTAAGTACAATTATATAGGATAAACTAGTTAAAAGGATTGAGAGTTTACTTGGTGGCAGGAGGTTGTTATGTGATGAAATCACAAAGGATTAATGTTACAAGTGGAGTACTTTAGAGATTCTAGGTTATTTTCTATTTCTCACTTTTATTAGTGACACTAGTAAATGAATGATCAGTAAATTGATTACGTTTTAGATTATAATGAATGATATTTTAAAAGAGGTACGGTTATGGAAACGGTGTTTATAGCCCATTCTCTAAGGCCTACTACTTCTAGACAACATACATTAGTCGGTAATAAGACAAAAACGGACCCTGCATTACACAGTAGAAATTATCAATACAAATCTATAATGTGCTGATTAGATCTCATTTGGAAAATTACGTTCAGTTTTTGGTCACAAAGAATATTATGTTCTTGGAGATGGTTCAATGAAACAGAACCAGGATGATTTTAACTTTGATGGAATTATTGTATGGGGATAAGTTGACTTTCATGATATGTTTATTCTGGAGAACAGTGGGATATGGAAGATACATGATTGAGGTTTGGAATCCATATATCGAAGTAAAATTTTCAGAAAAACTTGAAGGCTGTAAGACTAGAGGACACAAGTTTCATAATAATAAAACACAGAAAACACATAAATGACAAATTACTGTAATGTGACTTTTCTAATAAAGTAGTAAGTCTATAGAATGGTTTGTTTTCATGTGTAGTTAAAAGAGGAGGTTGGATGAGTACTTTTATACATTATGAATCATAGTTAGATATATATCAGGGTCCAAAATTCATGTCATTTAGTCAGTCCATGGGCCAACTAGAATAGCAAAAGGAAAAGTCTAATTGACCCAACAGGATTAATTAGAATTTTTAGACATTTTCCCTATTAAATCTTGTCATCAAACATGCATTTTTATTATCTTTTTCCTAAGACCATAGTTGTGTTTTTATCTCGTGGAAGTGTATTCTTTAATTCAATCTTCTAAATGGAGCTTCTAGCTTTCTGGGGATCACTGACCTACTTTTAAACTTTATGGGAAATCCCCATGATGTCTGAAATTAAAAAGAGGTCCCTGAAACATGTGAAAGGTGGGATCAATCTAAACAAAGTGTGATGAAAACTTATATCTCAATGGAGAAATACAGAATTAAAATAGTAATATCAAGTCACATTAGTTTTGTGTTTATCTGAATTAATATAAAGATTATGTGCATTCCAAGAGTAGTATAATAAAAAACAGTTGTTTTCGATTAAAGTTTTGCTTAATGTTACACATATATGCACTTAAAAAAATTCACATATGTAATTCATAAAATGGAATTAACACACACACATATATATATATATATATATATATAATAATATATGTACATTCATAATCAAACGTCCTTGGAGTGGACCTCATAACGGCCAGTTAGAACTCCTAGAGATTTTGCTAATTTCGAACCATAAAGTTAGAACATATAATTTATTACTTTCTTTTTACTAACCTGTGAGGACTCAAGAAAAGAAGAATGGTGATAGTGATGATGATGGTGGCGTCGGCAGTGTTTCTTCATATGTTTCTTAGTGGGCTTTGGTGAAGCCATTCCATCGCCAACAAACATAACTCCGACGTAAGTGAGATATCTGAGACAGACTAAGTTAGTAAGTAGTACTAGTAATAAGACGTCGAATTTGATTAGTGTAGGCTTAGAATTTACATCTTTCTTCTTGCTACAGTTGGCAAAAATTATTATGCAGAAATTCCAGAAAACAAATCAACAAGTAAACACACTTCTATAATAGTATTAATACTGTCAATGGTATTAACAAAGTGTTGATTTTATTATAATAGTCTTTGAGTCTGACTCACTCTTCAATTTACATATCAAATTCCAAACGTATAACAACTAACATTAGCAAAGCCTCAGCGTTCGGTAGATTAGAATTACTCGATCAATCGACCGGAAACAGTTTGCAATAAACCTAGTTACACAATTTTAAGTTTTTTAATAATTATAATTATTTCCAATAATTTTAGACCTTATACAACACTTTTGGTTATAAATATGTATATTTGTTTTAAAATAAATATTTAAACATTTTATGTTTGGAATAAAGAATGACGTAATACAAAGCAGAAGAAAAGACAAGAGGGAAGATAGGGGGGCGAAACTGAATATTATAAAAAGGTCTTGCGCATGCTCTTCTATTTTGACTGCCGCTAACCAAAATGGCAGGAGCGCCTAGGCAAGATTTACGCAGCATGGAAATAAAGACCAAGTCAATCGAGCAAACATTAATTCCTTTAGTGTCTCAGGTAAGAAATTTAGTTATACTATAACGATCATAATTCTTGTTCAATTTCTACATACTTATTGTGCATTTTGTACAGATTTCTAATCCACACATGTTTTTAGAGGCGGTAGAAACACATGTATTAAAGACGGTAAGCATGGGTTCTCAACATCCCTCTCCTTTGACTCTGTGATCAGTACTTATAAATTCTTTAACAAACGATTTTACGGTTATACAGATATATTTTACTATTATGCTTATACATAGCTGTTACTCATAATAACGTATATCGTAAAATCTGAAATATCCTGTTTTATTATATTGTCATATTAACTAGACCGTCATCTACAACATCTGGGACGATCCAAGTTTTATCGCATGGTGATCTTTTTTCCAAGTTTATAAATAATAAATGTTATATTTTATTGAGTGGATATTAAAATAAGTTTGTGACGATAAAAATTTAGAAACATTCGAACCTTTTGACAAGCATTGAATGATAGAAATATAGTTTTTTGTTGTTAGGTGCAAAGCTACACAATGGGGCTATCTGTGCTCTGCCCACCAGTAGCATTGAAGCTCGGTTTTTAGCGTTATAAGCCTTCAGACTTATCGCTGAGCCACTGGGGGGCTAGAAATAGAGAATAAGCCTTGAATGAAAGGTACTGTAGTAAAACGATTTTGTAGGGTATATATATATATGTATATATATATATATAATGTATATGCATTTTATGAATAAAAAATGAAAGAAACGGAATATATACTAAATAGTATTTTTAAAGATGAAACATACAGAAAGTACATTTCGAAACACGACCCTTGGAAACTAAATAACATACATTTAATTGCTATATGGCTGTATAAATGAAACATTAAACGTGACAACAATGAATAAAATATGAAAGAAACGAAATATCTACTAAACAGTATTTTTAAAGATGAAACATACAGAAAGTACATTTCGAAACACGACCTTTGGGAACTGTATGTAACATATATTTAATTGCTATATGGCTGTATGATTGAAACATTAAGCGTGACAACAAGATAAATTCATTTAATATATTTTCAATTAAGTAAAATATTTCTAAATATAATAATTTTTACATCGGTTTTTCGTATCATAATAGTACGTTGTACAACCAGTTATGTCATATAGTGGTTTATATGAACCATCTTTTCAGCCTCTAATTCTATGAGAAATCTCTATAAGATGTTTTTTTGTATGTAAAAATATTACCTGTGTGTTGTTTATATATACTCGGCACACACACCAATCTGAAAGTCCTGCTGGGCCGTGTGTTGCGTTTTTTTTTTTTTTTT